GGGTTGCCGGACCCGTTACAATGGGCCATCCGGTCTCTGTACGACTGCTGTAGGAGCTGTGTCAGACACGTTCCCGATGGGTGTTGGCCTCCGCCAGGGCTGCCCTTTGTCACTGGTCCTGTTTGTGACTTTCATGGACAGGATATCTAGGCACAGCCGGGGGGTGGAGAACGTCAGGTTCGGGATCGCCTCTCTGCTGTTTGCAGATGATGTGGTCCTGTTGGCCTCCTCGGATCGTGACCTCCAGCACTCACTGGGGCGGTTTGCAGCCGAGTATGAAGCAGCGGGGATGAGAGTTAGCACCTCCAAATCTGAGGCCATGGTGCCTTGCCGGAAACCGGTGGATTGCTCCCTCCAGGTGGGGACGGAGTGCCTTCCGCAAGCGAAGGAGTTCAAGTATCTCGGGGTCTTGTTCACGAGTGAGAGTAAGATGGAGCGGGAGATCGACAGGCGGATCGGTGCGGCTGCAGCAGTAAAGCAGGCGCTGCACCGGACCGTCTTGGTGAAGATGGAGCTGTGCCGGAAGGTGAAGCTCTCAATTTACCGGTCGGTCTACGTTCCGACCCTCACCTATGGTCACGAACTCTGGGTCGTGACCGAAAGGACAAGGTCACGGCTACAAGCGGCCAAAATGAATTTCCTCCGAAGGGTGGTTGGGCTCAGCCTTAGAGATAGGGTAAGGAGCTCGGACATCAAGAGGGAACTTGGAGTCAGCTGATGTGGTTCGGGCATCTCATCAGGATGCCTCCTGGGCGCCTCCCACTGGAGGTTTTCCGGACACGCCCATCTGGTAGGAAACCCCGGGGAAGACCCAGAACACGCTGGAGGGATTACATCTCCCAGCTGGCTTGGGAACGCCTCAGGAATCCCCAGAATGAGCTAGAAAATGTTGTGGGGGAGAGGTAAGTCTGGGTCAGCCTGCTTGGCCTGCTGCCACCGCGACTTGACCCCAGATAAGTGGAAGAAAATGGATGGATGGATGGAGGAGTATGATCTGCCTCAATACATATACAGATCAGATATGAAAGTTCCCACAGACTTCAGCAGCTCATTTGCTGACACGGTTGTCTGCTTTGTGCTTTCAGACAGAATCATTGGCAAGACAGCTGAGAGGGACAAAGAGCAGGACTCAGCAGCAGTAAAAGACAAAGGACAGACACCTGCTGACTTCAGCCGCATCTACAGCAAAGGTGAGAGCTTGGGTTGTCCAGAGTCACGCCAGGTTTGGTCCTGCTGCGAGTCAGGACTTGGGGGCTTCCGTCATGTTCTTTGGCTGGGTGAAGGGTATAAGTTAACCGAACCAATCCAGCTGCGAATTGATTCTGGACATTCCTGTCTTCAAGCAATTCTGTTATTTTGGATCAAATCAGAGGATCACTAAACTAAATGCTCCTTCAATGACACTGAAAATCCATATTCAAATAAATAAATCTGTCAATAGGTGATCAACCTGTAGTTTCCACATAGTATGAAGTTGAAGATGTGACACGATTCCCTACACAATTTTTAACCCATTAATTTTTAATAAATTGCATCCAGCTAACATGTTGTGATTTACCAGATGCATTTATTAAACATTTTAAATTAATTGTTTCCTCATATTTATATAAAATAAAATCTGGGTGGTATTACATTGCTTATAAAACAAATAGGAAATTAGTATTATATGATTTCTAGGAGAAAGTGAAAACACCACAGTGAATTTATTGGAATCCAAATGGTAAAAATCTGCTTTAGTTTTGTCTGTGTCAGCAGTATGTGTAAGTAAAATGTATTATGTCCTGCCAGGGCAGCTTTGTATAGTGTCTGATGGCTAAATAGACCCTTTTACAGCCAACGTCATTGAAAAATGAAACGGTTGTTGCTTGTTGGGTTGGCGGAATCGTTATTCCAACAGTGGACTCAAACTCTAAATAATTGCGACAGGATCACAACCATTTCAGAACAACAGGTGTTACGGTTCAACATGTGACCATCTTAACTGGTGTCTTTTAGCCGAATGCGTCCGCAGTTGCTCATTGTAACTTACATAAATGGTTGCCGTAGATATAAAAAAGCCATAGAAATAGAAGCAGAACGGACAAAGTTTTTTTCCTGTGGTCATTTGACTTGTACAAAAGAAAAAGGCGATTGTTGTTAATCGGTATGGGGACCGCCCGTAAAGTGGGAAGCCGAGAATAGAGCAGATGAATCGCTGGCTATGATGGTTGGCTAGTTTGCTAGGTAGTTTGTCCTTCTCCAGAGCGGCGTGGAGTGAGGCCCAGCTCACGGTTTGCTTCATTTTCTGTAACCAGCGTAGCATTAAAGCATAATGGCATTAGCAAGCTAGCTATGCTACAATGCTACGCTGGTAACTCGTGGCAATGTTAATGAGCGCTCCTACGCTGTGACAAGAAAGTGAGTGGGATGAATCATTGCGTTGTTGAATTTAAGCTTTGTGCTCTGGCACTCTATACTTCTTAAATTACTTCTCCACTGCTCATTTTAGTAGTAACTGTAAAACCTCACCTGAGTGACTCCGCGACTTGCCATAAGTCTGTATAGTTATACTGAAGTTAGCCTGCTACATCAGCCGCAATGGCAACGGTACACATGAAGATGGCTGCTGCTCTGACCATCCTGCTATGTTGATTTGAATGGGAATGTCCGTTGTACTTCCTTTTATTGCTATGCAATAAACACAGATCAGTATATGTATTTAAAATTGATTGAAGGCCTTCACTAGGACACCTACGAGCAACCACGGACGCATACGGCTGAGAGTTGCCAGTTAAAACGATCACTCGTAAAACTGAAACACAGGCACCTGCTTGTGTCTGTGGCGCCCATTTTAAAACTAAATAAACTTAAAACTCAATAAAATGCCATTAGCTTTCCTGTACATGACCACAGGTAAAGTAATTGGAAGCATCTAATGACTTGTATGTCGTAATTTTCTGCTGGTGTAACGTTACACACTAGGTTTCTCCACCAAATACTTGTACTGTATATATATCTGGCCACTAAATACTGCGTCACTTGCTAATGCATTCTACCCACTAATCACACCTCACTTATAGCACACAGATCTGGAAAATCTATTTGTTTAGGTTGCATTCGCCATGTTTGGTGGTTAATCGCCTTACATAGCTTGACATAACATATTGCATTGGCAAACTGTGTGTGCACAGTTTGCCAATGTACGCAGTAACACAGTGTACGCACGTCATCATTCAACCACCTGTGTCTAGAAATGTATTCAAATATATGCCATTTCTCCTTAATAAGACAACTATCAGTTGAAAGAGATATTCAGAACATGTCTGTTTGTGTGTGTGTGTGTGTGTGTGTGTGTGTGTGTGTGTGTGTGTGCGTGTGCCCAGACCTGCTCCCAGCTCCAGGTGGTGAGGAGATGACCAGAGGGTTTCTGCAGGAGCTGGTTAACATCCTGTTAGGTTATATCAGCAAGTCAAGTCAGCGGAGCTCCAAGGTACTCAACTGTTTCTATCAGTGAACAGCATAGTGAGGCACTGTTATGTTTGAATCCTGTACAGTATCTCAGCACTCTGCTCAATGACTCTCAAACCCTTCCAGTCCATCTGCAGGGCAGGGAATAATACGCAAATAAATAATAAAGCATACAAATAAAGGGATATTTTCATTATGAGACAAAGTACTTCCAAACCTGATACACACATGTATATTCCATCAGTGCTATGTCCAAGATCACAAAGATTGCAAGGAGTATGAGTTTTTATTAACTCTCCACCAAAAGAGAGAACAGATTTAGATTTCGAGATCCAATGCATTTTCACGGTCAGAGAATTTCACAGGATTTTAAGAGATGGTTATTTGAAATCAGCAGAAGCTCTGCTAGGACAGAGCAGAAAGCATTAAAATATATATCAAGGATATAGAAACGATGCTTACAGATGTGCCGATATGTACAGTATATAAAAGTTATGTTACTTTGCCAGCATCGTCATGGAGATTGTATAGGCTATTCTGAGCTTACTTCAACGACTAAAGAAATTCTTCCCATCTTGCTCTTATACTCCCCAATTCTGCGATTGCATCAGTTTAGGTAGCAATGTGTGCTCCATTTCGCAGGCCCAATTTTACCATGTTGTCCTGCAAAAGCCAAACTTAAAGCCAATCAATACTTGATGATGATCAAAAGATAGTCATCCAGCTCAGATTTTCGAACTGGAAAAGCTTTCAAGTGTGCTGTGTTGTACATGACACATGGCATCAACGTTGTGTGATCTGCTATCATTGCCAAACGGCTTTGGGCATGTGTCCAGTATCGTTGTTTTCCCACATAGGCGGAACTTGACATTACGAGCATGAGGCTATCCCCATATAGCAGTCTCTGGAGCCAAGCACTTTACTATCCTGCCACTGACCTTAAATTGTTAAACAATGATAATGACGTTTTTTTTTTAAGGTCATGCATTAAAGGTGCAATATAGGTACAAAATTGATACTCTAAGCATTGATATAGCAGCAAATAACTATTATCTATGTAAAGATACCGTGGAGTGGAGAATGAAGTCACTCTCCCTGTGTGTGTGTTGTAACACTGTTAGCTCTGCCACCACTGTTGCCATTGTTTGCACTGTTAGCGCTGTTAGCAACTTTAGCTATGCGGTGCCATGTTGAGAGCCACTGAGAAGCAATTGGAATGCTCCTAATCTCGTATAGTAACTTTAATCGAGAATAATATACATTTCTATATGAATTAGTACAACTAAAACCACACATTTTTCTAATGCCAGCGGATGTAGCGGGCTCTTGTATTTTGGATACAGTCCAGAAGAGCTATAAATATTTTGAAGAGGTTCCACTGGATGTATATTGTATGTATGTGTACATTATTAAATATGAGTCACAGGAAAAGACATGATGGAATAATACTGTGTTTTAGGTCCTGGACTTCCATCATCCTCACCAGCTAAAGGAGGAGTGCTTCACTCTGGACCTGCCCGACCAACCAGAAACTCTGGAGCAGATACTAGTGGACTGTAAAGACACACTTAAGTATGGTGTCCGTACAGGTGTGTGTGTGTGTTGATCATTATTCACAGTTCATTGCTCTATCCAGAGCCATTGATGTAGGGGTGAAAATGAATGAAATGCATTTCATTTGCATCCCATTTAAGTGCTTCACATGTAGATAAGACATGCCCATAGACGGTAGATAAGAAGTGGACACAGTCACAATGGTTTCTCGTTTCATGAACTGAAAGCACACTGTGTTGTTCGTCTTATGACTTAGAGTCATAAGACGAACAACACTGGCAACTCCCAGACCGGACAAGGCCGTGGTAGCAACCTGTCAATCAGTATGGCAATGGATATTTTCTTGGTGTTTTTCATTTAAATTCATAATAGATAAAAACCTGGGAGAACAGGAAAGTTGTAAGTCTGCTTATGAAATGTGGGCACAGTTGTGATGGACCTCAAGTCATCAGGCAGCTTGTTCCAGAGAGCAGGAACACGGTAACTGAACTGCACCCTCACCGAACATGGATCTAATACTGGGTACAGCTAGAAGATGACCTGGGCCTGATGACCTTAGATGTCTATTCAATGTATGAGCAGTGAGCAAGTCAGAAATGTACTGAGGAGCCAAACCACAAAGTGTGTTATGGACTATTATCAGGATTTTGAAGGCGATTCTTTATTGTTCCCTGAGCCAATGAAGGGATTTTTAGTCACACAGTAATATGTAAAAAAGTTTGTGTACTTGTAAGGCCTGCATTTTCAATGAGCTGGAGCCTGACTATTTGGATACATTTTGATTGAGACTATAAACTTATGTTTACAATGTTTGCTGAGGTAATAAATCAAGTTAGAAGTAGGGTCAAAGAAAACAACAACTCGTAGAAAGATTCAGGTTCTGTCCTGTGTTTTTCCAGGCCATCCCCGCTTCTTGAACCAACTGTCTTCAGGTCTGGATGTGGTTGGTGTAGCAGGCGAGTGGTTAACCTCTACAGCCAACACTAACATGTAAGATCTCTTCATCAGTGGTGGAAAGTATTCAATATTTTTTACTTTTGAAGAACTTGTTCTGAACATAGAAATAGAATAGAAGTAGAACGGACATTGAACTGTTACCTGTGGTCATTTGACAAGTAAAAAAGAAAATGGCAATTGTTGTTAGTTGATATGATGACAACACACGTCAGTGAAGGACGTAAAGTGTGGTCGCAGCTCGCCGGTTAGAGAAAGCAGCTCCAAGATGGATGGCTGGTTAGTTAGCTTGTCCTCCAGAGTAACGGGGAGTGAGGCAGAGAAACCGTTAGACTGTCCGCTAGTTAGCTAACAAGCTGTTAATTCCACCATGCTTTAATGCTACACAGAAAGCAATGGGCCATCCTACGCTGTGACACAAGTGTGTGAATGAATCAATAAGCTGTTAAATTGTACTCCTTTACTCTGGCTCTCTACACTTTATAAACTTACTGCTCCACTTCTTTTATTTGTTGCTGTCCTGCCGTTAGTTGGTTTAGTTATACGGATTATTAGCCCGCTACAACTGTCGCAATGGCACACATAAAAGTGGCCGCCCCCTGACCATTATGCTGTGTTGAGAAGGGCTGGTTTTAACCACAGACTATATCAAATGTTAATGCAGTCTCTGTGACGTCACCCATAGATTTCTTAAGAGCTTTTGAGAAGCCCAGAGTAACCCCCTGCTATTGTTTGTGGAGCCAACCTTAAATAGCCATTTGTGGAACAGCAGTTTTTGACACTTGAGCGTTGGCTTCATTTTTCAGCACCAGAGGTTGCTGCTTGGTTTAAAACTGGATGCACCTCAGCCATGGTGTACTCTTTATACTACCTAATTATACACGGAGGTATACTCTTGAAAGTGTTGACTACACAAAGTAATCCTCGACTGTCAAACATTTTTAAAGAAGTGCCTTTACCAATACAACTTAATATCTCTAAAATGAAGAAATCTAAACATGATATGTCTGCAAGAAGTATAATGTGAATACTTTTTCTTTACAATATAATACAATAAAAATAATTCTTTTACCAGGTTTACGTATGAAGTGTCCCCTGTTTTTGTCCTCATGGAGGAGTTTCTGCTGAGGAAGATGCAAAGCATTGTGGGATGGTCTGACGATGTGGGAGATGGAATCTTCTGTCCAGGTAATACATGCAAGGAAGGTACGACAGAAATGGATGGATTGCGTTTAAAGAGACACTGAACATCTCTAGATACAAAAGGTCGAGGCGCCTTTATTTCTCAAAAATGCAGGTAAAGTTCAATCCAAGCAACAGTTTAAATATTATTATTCTCAGTGTGTGAACGGAGGAAGTTACAAATGATTGTACAGTATCAACATACAGTTCATAGTGTATACGTTTTAGTATTAGGATAGGGTATGGAGCTGAGACAAAACAACAAACAAATGAACAGATGCACAGCACACTTGTCCATAAACAGTGCATTCTGTTTGGGCGACTGTTGCTCAGTGGTAGAGCAGGGTCGTCCTTCAATCAGAGGATTTCCGGCTCAGCTAGTCCATGTCGATGTGTGTTTGGGCAAGACACTTAACCCCATATTGCTCCTGCAGGCAGGCTGCGGTGTATGAATGGGTATTAATGTTAGTTAGAGTCCTGATGTGCACGTGGCACCTTGCATAGTGTATGAATGTGTGTGAATGGGTGAATGACGACATGTAGCATTAAAGCGCTTTAAGTGGTCAGAAGACTAGAAAATCACTATACAAGTACAAGTCCATTAACCATTTACCATTTCATGAAGGAGGCATGATATCCAACCTGTACAGCATCCTGGTGGCCAGATATCACTTCTACCCGGAGGTGAAGACCAGGGGGATGGGAGTCCTGCCTCAGCTGGCCCTCTTCACTTCAGAACAAGTAATCACATTTCACAAGCTATTACACTTTGTGGGGTTTAAGGGGTGTGCGGATTGAAGAGTGATCAAATGCTACCTCCCAATAACCTTCTATTGAAGGTCATTAAGCAATGAAATATGAACGAAGTTTGAGTACAGAGTTGTTCACATACTGATATCAGAACCAGCTTCTGATACATGCCGGCCACATTCTTAAAATGAATCTTTCATTTTTTGTGGCACTGGATGGACAGACTTCAATCCTAACTTCTGGTTATGATCTACTGTGTCGAGTAACCCAATTACACGTCTTTGGCCAGCTAAAAGGTCCAACTGAAAGTACAGGGATAAAATATTGTGAAAAGGTGAAATTTAGTATATTCGGTTTTATATGCAAAATATTTATTGTGATGGAAGGTGGATAGAAAGGTAACCATGGTGTATAGTATGTGTACCAGAATACTTTAGCTCAGGAGATCCAAAGTCCAGTCAATATTAAAAGGATGTTGATGTCACTTGCTTGCGTTCCCTAATGCTGATACGGTTTCGGTCTAGTTTATTTCAGATTCAGCTAAAAATGCTGCCCTGCATGTGTTGAGTAGAGCAAAGTACAGCAGAATTGTGGAAAATATTAAGGGTGGGACTCCAGAATTGGATTGAGAACTCTTGTTCTCACCATAACCCTAACTAGACGAACAACACCTCAAAACGTTCGACCAGCCTAGCTACCTGACCTATTTAGGGTGGCTCGCTCTTTCTAATGGCTCTAACCGTCCCTGTACAGCTGTCTTCTCTCCTCGTAACACTATCAGGTAAGCCATTTCTTACACACTCCAAACACAATTATACACAACTAATATAATCAACTAGAAGATTTACCACAATATCATGTATTTTTCGCCATGAGTCAGTGAGCTACGCACTCCCCTTCGATATACCAACACAAAGCTACAAGCTAACACGGACCACCAATACATCGCAGAGCGAGAACATTCGACACAGATTCCAAAGATATCTTCAGAATTCTCTCCGTGAAACCATTACAAAGATATCAGCCAAAAAGCACCACAACACCAAACCGCTTCACCGCAGAAAAAATCATAACTGCCCCTTACTTTGAGATGAATCATGAAGAGAAAGGAATAATATTCCGGTTCCCGGCTAAAAACACTGTTGCTACGTATATATAACAACTGGAACAGCTGGTTCCAAAATGACAATTTTGCTTCACCTCGCCTGACCTCTCTGTACTAAAACCTCTCTAACTTTGTTCTGCTTCACTTTATCAAAGTCAAAATTTGCATAGAGACTGTTGACATGTTGTGCTATGATTAGGGATAGGTTTTAGGCTAAAATAATATCTAAATAATAATATCTATATATAAATATTATCAATAAAAGTGCTTTCTTTTCAGGCGAACCTGAAACTTTTCAATTTGAGCTGTGTGCCATCTTCATTTACTCTTAACCAGTAACATATGCACTGATATTTACACATCTGAATAAATCACACAAGTGTTACCTTTATTATAACATCAAAATTATTAAAATAGACCTTGTAGTTACAGAAAAACACTCTTTTTAGTATGGGTATGCAATTTCCGAGTAGAGGCCTAAAAAAGGAATGTAATTCACAAAATGAGCCCATTAGAGAAGTTAAGACATCATGGACCACCAGTCATGATTGTTTTTCTGGTGTTTTAATGTGAGTCGTCAGCTAACTGGTACAAAACTGATACTGCTATGCTCATTTTGATAGCTCACTGTTATGTTTACCACAGACAGAGCAAGCTAAATAACAATGGCTATATCGGCAAAAAAGATTTCCATATAAGTTAGCAATAGCTATTGCTAGTTTTCTAGCTAAAAGAGTGGTGCAGGGAAGATTTATTTTTGTAGGTCAACCCTGGAAATTAGCATTGCACTGCCACAATACGCCCTTGGGTTTTTCCATTGGATTTTTCCATTGGATTTTGGATTATTGCTGAAAATAAGATCAGGAGCAAAGTATAATTCTTACACTTTGTTTTAGCAAGGTAATCTTAACAAATGAACACCACTTTCATGATTTTTGAAGCGCGAATGCAATTATCTGAAGTTAAAAGCTAACAAGGCTGTGAAGGCAAGGCAAGTTTATTTGTGTAGCACATTTCAACAACAAGGCAATTCAAAGTGCTTCACATAAAACCATTAAAAGCATCAAAACACAAGGCAAAAAAGGAGATTTACAAACAATTAAGAAAAATTAAAAAGTCATTAAAACACTAAAAAGCAGTGTAAGAAATAAAATACAGTAGTAAAATGCAGAAATGCAGGAAATTGATTAATATCCTTGAATGTGGTTCAATTAAAGGCAGCAGCAAACAATCTTGATTTAAAGGAGCTGAGGGTCTCAGCAGACCTGCAGCTTTCTGGGACTTTGTTCCAGATATGTGGAGCAGAACAACTGAACTCTGGTTCTGACTCTGGAAACAGGAAGTAGACCGGTCCCAGGAGTGAAGGAGTACTTTTCTGCAGGATGACGTTTTGAAGTCTCATTTGGCCACTTGTTAGAAACCTGCCCTTTTCAAGACACTTAAAAGCTTCAAAATTCTCAAGAGGGGTATCTACTGATATATTTTATTTTATAGCACAAAACAATAACATCTCTTTGGTCTATATTAACCACATATACTTCAAAAAGCATTTACCTCGAGACAAGGGGAAGTGAAGTGCAAAAATGCGGACTATTTTCAAGGTTATAGGACTCATTTCTGCACCACTTTATTAATTAATAAATAATCATATTCTGCTAGCATATTTATTGTTTGCCAGCTACACATTCCGCAGTAAACATTCCGCTGCACAGCAGCAGTGACACGTAAACAGCTAGCTATGCTAAGGATAGTTAGCAAAAGATATGTGGATGAAACATGATTTCCATATAAACGGACATTTAGGCCGCTCTTATTAGCTGTCAATGACATGAGGTTGCTTTTTCGCTGTGTTTACCCAGCCAAGCCTCCTTTTCCATGAGAAATGGCTGCAAAGCAAAGGCGATATACTCATATCATATACCTCATCAGACTGCATCCTTTTTTAAAGAAAAGTTGTAATCCATAACATTCTGAATTAAACAGTTTTTTCTGGAGCCGAAGATGGAAGTAGTAACGAGTGAGCCATCTCGCTTCCTTCTTATCTCAGTTAAGAGTTGCAAATGTGAAGTACCGATCATGCAAGGAGAGCACTGCAACCAACTCAAATTAGGGATACAATAGTGGATCTACCCACTTACTATCAAAAACAATACCACTCGCGGGTTTCTCCAGGTAGGCCTACAAGTGGTAGTACAAGACATGACATGCCGTGGCTAGCTGGTTAGCATGCTCATTTTAGTAGATATCTATGCAACACAATACATGACATCAACACTGTAGGCTTTTCATCTGTTGATAATCTTAGTTCATTTTTTAAAAATGTTTTAAATTTAAATTCTGGCCACATCTCTCTCTCACTCACTCACTCACACAGACACACACACACACACACCTTTAGTACTTATGTGATGCATTTATACGGATGGTTTCAGGAAAAACATTTCATAAGACATCTCATTGAGTTGGGCCCACAGATAGCTCGTAGCACCGAGCACACCAAGCTATTATCTCCAAACAAAAGACAGCATTTCACTCTTGACATGTGCACCTGGGAATGTCATTTTAGAACCAAACAATGCAGCCACTGCGGTCAGCTAAATGAAAAGTCTACCTGTTTGCAGTTGCTTTGAATTGAGACAAATGAAGATGAATGGCTGGATTTTCACTCATTTCAGAGTCACTACTCAGTAAAGAAATCTGCAGCGGTGCTGGGGATGGGCAGTGAGAATGTGTTCATGGTGAAATGTGATGAAAGGTGGGTAAGTTCAAAGTACACAAACTGGTTTCTAGTAGTCAATGTGATGCACGGCAATGGAAATGTTTGCTCACCTGTTGGAGCTTTGTATGCATCTGTGTGCGCGTCTTTGGGGTAAATCCGTCCATGCAGTGGGCTAGTTAACATACTGTGGCTTATATACATGTTTACAGCATAGTTAACACGTAGTATAGGCTTAAATTTAAAATATATTGTACTACTTTTCTGTATAAACAGAGAATTCTTCCCATCTATTGTGCATAGAGAATGCCGTTTTAAAGTATTTTAGAGTGCAAGGCAGGCTGATCTCAGGGATTTGTGTCTGCTTCATATACACTATGCATTAATAATTGCTGTTTATATAACTCTGGTCTACTTTTGGTCTTTTAAGTGGGAAAATGATTCCTGCTGAACTTGAGTCTTCCATTGTTACCGCGGAAGAAAAGGTATGAACGTAAGGCAACTAAATGTCAGAAAAAATATTCCTGTATGCATAGTTTTTATGAGTACTAAGAAGTTATCTAAGATTTCTGATTCATCATCAAAACCTCATCCCTGAATTGAATTGAGATGTGTTAATATGATAGTCACAGTTGATGCTGGAACATCAACACATACATACCGTTTGATGAGACCAGCCTCAGTTCTCTCTCTCCAGGGTTTGGTTCCATTCTATGTGAATGCGACAGCGGGCACAACGGTGTACGGAGCCTTTGATCCTCTCAAGGCCATAGCTGACATCTGCCATAGACACACACTGTGGATGCACGTTGATGTAAGGCGCCCCATCTATCCCTCTCTCGCTCGCACGCTCGCACACACACACTTTATCATTATGCATTATCCCCTTAAGTTAAACAGATCTCTGCAATTTGTGGAGGACCAACACAGAGCCCAAACTAAAATACATTTTACCTTTAAAAAGAATCACAGACAGAAGAATAAAGGAGGAGTTTTCTTTAAAAGACAGAAATAAAAATAGACTGGAAAAGTGAACTCAGTAGAGTGCCTCCACCAGTTGTGTCTCCATCACCCCTAAACAAAGAAGAGTTGAATCTCACTCAATAGTCCCTCCCGCCTCCCTTACAGTCAAGATGGAGGCAAAACAAAAACAAAAAACAGTGATCTATTAATATTGTGTTTTTGCTAACTTTAGTGGATCATAACATATCCGGTGTGTAATTAATCCGCAGATTTTCTATGGATGTCAGTTTTTGAGCCACAACAAAGGCCAACATGTGGCCTGCAAGAGACTAGGTTGTCAGAAATGCCTTTTGCTACTAAACTCAACTCAACTAAAAGTCCATCACAATTGTACGGAGTAGAGTTTGCTGATACCTATGTTCAGTCATGGTAGGTGCAATCCTTGAACTGATAGGCTGTCTGTCTGGCCAGCGGATATCCAGGGCAGACTTCTTCTTCCTTTCTCAGATCAATTGTTTACACTCCGATTTGCAACTTGAGATGTATGGGGTCAGATCAGTCTCAATATCAATGAATGCACACAGAAAAAAAAAAAAAAAAAAAAAAAAAAAAAAAAAAAAAAAAAAAAAAAGAAAATCACAAATGTAATTTGTGATTCACATATGAATGACTTTCACCAACAAAAAAATATTTTTCAATGCACACAAAAATAGTCATAAATGTAAACAAAATCCTCATATGAAAAAAATAAGATTCACAAATATGCCCTCACAAATATTTCTTGTTTTAAATACATGTAATAGAAATCCACAAATATGTATTTAAAAGGATTTAAAATTTTCAAAAACGTATTTGAATGTTATTAGATTTCTATATATACTGTTGAACTTGCATTTACAAATTGTGTGAACTTCACTGCAGTTGTGTGGGGGTTTTTTGAGACTGCTGACGTTGTTCAATTCACAAATATTTGTCAATATGGAATTATCTGTTGCCAATTAGATGATTCCTCCATTCTTAACCAATCATATGAGCATGCCCCCACAAGGGTATACTCTTATGTTATGCACAGGGTGGGAACCTGGTAGGAACTTGGAAACGGGTGGAAAGGAGTTTGCTGGAAATGACTCAGACAGCAGGACAAGACTTGACAGTACCCCACCCTCTAGGGACGGCATCTGACGTCCTAGGTTGGTCGGGATGTCGGCGATGAAAGTCCTGGAGAAGAGAAGGGTCCATGATGTACACTGGACCTCCGTCTATGATCTGGGGGGGAAGGAGGGAGAGACCAGAGGACTCCCCTTGACCAGTTTATCACGGGCCATTTGGAAGGTGGGATGGACACTCAACGACCTGGGGCATCTCAACCAAACAGTCACTGGACTGATGACCTTAGAGATGGGTAATGGGCCGACAAACCCCTACCACACAGGAGTAGGGCAGGATGCTGGGGGGAGAACTGGGGACAGAGTTAGGATCATACATTTCAGCTTCTTAGAGCTGTGGCGGTATGACAGGGATAAACTGAAACGTTTAAAGTGGCTTGTCTGACGTTCAGCTGCTTGGCCGACCCGATGTATTCCAGGTGCTTGTGGTCAGTCCAATCTAGGAATGGTTGCTCTGCTCCCTCCAGCCAGTGCTGCCACTCTTCCAATGCAACGTTGACAGCCAACAGCTCCCTGTGGCCACATCGTGTTTCATTTCCGGGATAGGAAGGCACAAGGTAACAACCTTATTGTTGGACAAGGGACCACTGGGAGAGAACAGCCCTGATGCCCACATTCGAAGCGTCCACAATGAATTGCTGTAGAGTGTCCAATCCATAAAACTCTAGTCCTTCCCGGAATCCTGCAGAGCTGGGTGAGAGAATGTCTGTGAAGGAGTGATGAGTTGGATGGGAATGAGGGGACGAGAGGAGTAATCGGAAGATCATAGTACGGCTGACTCACTCTCCTTCTCACTGGCGAGCGTTGTCTTTTACTGGGCATGTAGACAGGAAGTGACCCAACTGGGACCAGTAGATGCACCTACCCTCCCGCAGGCTTAGCTGTCGCTCCTCCAGAGTAAGCCTGGCTCTTCCAAGCTGCATTGGTTCCTCCGGTTCAGTAGGAGGCGAGGATCATCAAACCAGTGTCTCTCACACACACAGACACACACATACCTGCGTGTCCTTACACAGCCAGAAAGTATAATAAATCTGAATGCTTATGAGTAATCTATTTTTGATTTTTACTCCGTCCCTCCAGGCAGCGTGGGGGGGAGGCCTGCTGATGTCAGACAGGCACAAGATAAAACTAGCGGGCATTGAAAGGTAACTGCATCCACTAACAACCCAACCACTTCACCAAGCATGCCTTCGTTTTCTCTCAGTGAGTTGTACAGTGGTGGTCGTACAGAAATCCTGAGACTTTAGCTTGAATAATAATGCAAAGCATGACGACAACTAACACTATAGGCAAACAAATGGGGCCATTGTTGTTGCAAAGCCATTTGCAAATGTGTGTAAAGGGTTGTATAACTGTATCTCAATCCGTTTGTGAGTAATCAGATTTCTAAATGTGTACTTGTTTTCCAGAGCCTGGTCTGTAACATGGAATCCTCACAAGATGATGGGCGTCCCACTGCAGTGCTCTGTCATACTAGTCAAGAAGAGAGTAAGACATTATCCTCTCGTCTTCATTTCAAGTGTGCATCACAAAAAGATACCCTTGGATGTTATTCACTGAATGTTTTTAGCCATGCTAGCATGGCTGCAAGCTTCAGGGATGACAATTTCCGTCTGTGTCTCGGCTGGGCCATTACTTGAACTCTCAATAACTATTAGATGGATCGCCATGAAACTTTATACAGACTTCCCAGACACCATGTTCTGACTCTCAACTCGTCAAAAAGGCACCTTGATCAGTGGCCCTATGCTCCAAACTATGACGCTCAACATGCTACTCTTATGTCAATTTTACATGTGTCAATTTCTGCTTGTTGCATGCATACACTGTCTTTTTAGAATGAACTTCCGTGTTCTCAGGAAACAATCTGGTAAGGTTCACGCAGTAAAATGACTTGGTTAAGTTTAGGAAAAGGTCGTGGTTTAAGTTAAAACTAAATCCCATCCTATATATACCTATAACCATCTGTGAAAGGTTCCACCCAATACCCTCTCTGGAGGTTCAATCTAGAACCTTTCCACTTTCTAAGGGTGCCAACAAGAACCCTTATATATTCCAAGGGTTTCATCTACAACCCACCCATTGGGTTCTACCGAATACCCTTTTATATTCCAAGTGCTTAATCTAGAACCTTATAGGGCCGGGGCGAATTTGGTGCAGCACAACCCACATCGTGGTTCAAAAATCACAGTTTTTGTGGGTGGGTGGGTTTGTTCTGGCCCTCGAGGCATGGTGCTGTTGACAGATAATAAAACTGACAGTTAAAATCAGATCTCCAGTTCTCACTGAAGAATGGAAAACCTGTGTGGACCACGTCTTCCCAACCATTTTCTCATCCGGACATGTTTAGCCTTTTGCTTTCGTTTTTTTTTAAACTGCAAAGCATCACTACAGCAAGTTGTAGCACAGCGTCAGTCTCCGTTTTGTTTACATCAGCTTCCCCATGAGATCACGTGAGGTGGTGTATTGCTCCCTCCGGCACGATAATTGTGTGATGCGCCATTATTTTCAAATCTTTTAGCGTGTGCATTTTTGAGATTAGAGAGAAGAGCATCTGTGAAGATTCTTCTTATGTGTGTGATGATGCAACCCAATTTTCAAAATGAATTTAACTCCTGTAGTCTGAGCCCGGCTTAAAGGTTGTCCATGTTTGATCTCCAGCTATATCTTGTATGACTGTCTAATGCCTCTCTCCTCCCCAGGGTCTCCTACAGGAGTGTAATGATTTCGGGGCTGAGTACCTTTTCCAGACAGACAAAAACTACGATGTGAGCTATGATACTGGGGATAAGAGCATCCAGTGTGGCCGACATGTTGATGTCTTTAAGCTGTGGCTCATGTGGAAGGCAAAGGTATTCATGTAGCGCATCAGTGTAAGCCCAGTGTGAGGTTAACATTCTTTTCTCTCCACTTGCTGTGCTTCCAACCAGACTGAATCTGATCTTCTGTTAATGTTGGAGACTTTCCTTCAAAGGGTTCTTCACTAAATCCTTTCATGTTCTGTCTTTATCTGCCTTCACACAAACTCATTTACAGACCGAATAGGTGATTAAGGTCTCTCTGATGTCATGATGTAACAAACCTATTTGGGATTTTGATGGCTAGCTGCATTTCTCCATCCTGGTTCAGTTCTATGTAATGTGGAAAAGGGCTTAAGCAGGTTGAATTGTTATCAGAAGGGATAAAGATTCAAGTGAGGCTGAGGTTGGTTTCAGTGATGGCCAAATTAATCAGCTCTTCTTATTTTCTTTAATATGTGTATTTTCACCACCACAGTCCAGGCTGACATCTCCTGGCAGGTGCAGAGTCCTGCACACAGTTGTTCTTTGCCTTTTTGTTGGGCATCTACCTCAGGTTTACATGCGAAACAATTGTCTTGAAGCCTAGATTAATATTTCAAGTCACGTTATGCCTATGAGATGGAGCTGAGACGTGTGCCAGCACAGAGCCGGTTAGTTATGAGACATATTTGTTGTTTGAGACATGCAAGTGAAAAACATGTCTGATATGCTTGCGGTCTAGTCGGGGGGTTACTAGCCAGTAGCCAGTTTACAAACTAAAATTAAAACAATAAACAGCTAAATCATCGTCAGACGATAGTCGGTGGGTTCCAGGATTACATTTTCACCAATGCGTTTCGCCTCTTTTGCTCCCCACACATGTGCATTTAACCAAAGCCTCAGACTACAGACCAGAACGCTTCCGATGCCAAAATCTTGTCCCATTCCCTTTCGATTATACATGTAGATGCAGAATCTGTTATTATTACCTCAGTAAACATGAGTTTATGGTCTCACTTGCTAGTTCAAGTTTTGAGCAAGCATGATGCTCATTTATCAAATGATGTAAAATTGAGCAGAAAGCGGGGTATGTTTTAGGGAGTGGCTACCTTGTGATTGACAGGTCACTACCACGGTGTTGTCCGTGTTTTAGTCATACAACTTTCAGTGTGGACAGGCAGGTGAGGGGATTAATGTGCCCCTGCAGAAAACCTGTTTGAGCATAAAGACGCAACACAAGTGAACAAGACTTTCTTAAAAATCACAAGTTCACAGCTCATACGAATGTTGATCAGATGAGCGAGAGGAAATGCCCCCCTTTGTAAGACTTTGTGATGAGATAAGATTGTTTAACTCTCTGTCTCTGTCACTCTCTCAGGGCTCCGAGGGCTTTGGATCTCAGGTGAACAAATGCTTAGAGAATGCTGAGTATCTGTATGATCAGCTGCAGAGGAGGACAGACTTTGAACTGGTCTTGAAAAATAAAGTAAGGCTGGTAGTCACGGGGTAATTTACCTTTACCTTTTGTGTGACATGTTCAAATTTGTATTTCTTTTATCTCAAAAGACATCTAGACATTGGATTTCAAACCTGGATACATTTGATGTCTAGGCTGTTTTAAACAGCATTTCATCATTGTAATTCTCTTAAAGGAGCAATGTGTGAGATCTGGCCAGATCTGTCTTTTAATAGCACATGTACCCAGGGAGGCGATAGTGAGTCACTGTAGGTTCCAGTCCGTCCTCAGTCTAACATGAGAGGACGAAGAAGTAGAGCTGTCCTGAGGGCTTCACAATCACTTTGAAGGTACAGGGTCTGTGTACTTTTGATAGTTTGTTTATTAGATTAAATCCAAAGTGTCAAAAACAAGAAAACATCAGTTTTTTTGTTGCGCCCTCCGTGCTGCCAGAAGACTACTTTGCAGGGAGGACAGCTCCAAGAGACAGACCTTTAGTTAGCAGATAGCAGTTAGCTAGAAATCAGCTAGCACAAACCCCAGCTCAGGAGATCTGATCCCGGGGGACTGCTTGATCAACACACTTTCTGTCGCTGCCCCTGTCCACGGCCCGCTGTTACCCTCGGCACTTGGGTTTGTGCAGGCTGAATTTGAGTTGCTAACTGAAGGTCGGTCTCATGGAACAACTGCCTGCTCTCCTCCCGGCAAAGTAGTTTCATGGCGGTGGGGAGGACGAAACTAAAATATGAGTCGTTTTCTCGTTTCTGACACTTTGGATTTAATCCAAAACATGCAGAGACCGTACAGCCTCCAGTTAGTGGCAGGGTAAACACACAGATAGCTAACACAAACCATAGACCGACGCCACACCTGAAGATTAGAAGATTTTAGCATTTCGGTCAAATTTTACGTATTGTTGCACCTCCCGAGTTTACAGATGGCTTTTTTTATTTGCATTAAGTTATAACGGTAAACATATATTACATGGCCGAATTAGTAGAGGTAAAATCCTGCCCCCTATTTGTTTGGAGTATGTGGCTTGGCACTACACATTGCATCTTTAAAATAACAGTTCTATGTATCATAGACGTCTAAAAACTCTCACTTTTCAACCTGATTTAGCCTTGTTGGAAACTACTGTGGATGTCTAAGACAGCCAAACACTTGAACTAACCATGTACAGAATATTACTAGGCACTATTGTTATGTAGCAATAGTTCTTAGTTCAGTGTTTCCTTATCCATTTAAATCCCCAATCAATTCTTACTGAGCATATTTTTCCTCCGCCTCTCACACAGCCGGAGCACAGCAACGTGTGTTTCTGGTACATACCTCCAAGTCTGAGAGGCCTGCCACCTGGACCTGACAGAGACGCAATACTCCATCAGGTTAGTACAGAACATCACTGGTTCCTCTGGACTCCTTCAGTAACGGTCAGGAAAATGGGTGAAAAGAATTTGAAGGAGACTGACCGAGCAGAGAAAAGAGGTTCTTACTCTTCATGTCTCTGCAGGTGGCTCCTCGGATCAAAGGCAGGATGATGGAGAAGGGCTCTGTCATGATTGGCTATCAGCCTTTGGGAGATAAAGTCAATTTCTTCAGAGGTGTGTTCTCCAATCCCGCCACCCAGCAAGAGGATGTTGACTTCCTGCTGGACGAGATCGCCCGGATGGGCGATGACCTATGACATCTGATATGATTACTTGGTCGTCATTTTGAAGGAAGTTAGTTAATTCGATAAAACCATTGGGTTGCTGTGCCATTAGTCTACATTGTATCCAGCCTGGTTGCACAGGCTGTTGAATTACTCTACAGCCTCTGCTTAACATTGCAACTTTTGATCATTTTACAGCTTTGCTGTCCTACAACATGAAGCTCAACCATTATCCCTCACCCTTCTCCAATATTAAAAATAATTTTCGCTTGGGCAGTTGTTTCCCGCTGTGAGGTTTTAAGGGTCACCTCAATCAATAAAATATGTCTGAAAATATCTTTACATCTCAACAGCAATCAATAAATGAAATGTTCTGGCAAAAAAAGAAAAAATCCTGTCGGACTGTAATAAGCTTGTCCAATCATTTTCAATTTCGTCTGATCGCACTATGCCTGTGCATTCAATGGTGACATCGGAATCTTCCACAATCTGCTAGTTTGAAAGCTGTGTCATCACCAAAGGTGTAAACATTTCCAAAGTCGCTGTGACTGATGTTGCACTCTCTGATCATTTCTGTGTTTTCTTTGAGAGTGCAATCTCCTTGCACACAAATGTCCAAACCGAGGTTGTGACAAAGCGTTACATCTCTGAAAACACCAGTGAACTATTCATTCAGAAGTTCTCCTCCTGACCAGCACTCTCTTGCATCTCAGTCAATGAGCTTGTAGATGGCTTCAATTCTAAAGTTAAAAATATTATTGATGCCATTGCACCCACTAAAGTGAAGGTTGTCTCGGGTAAGCAAAGATCTCCTTGGAGAAATGCTTCGCTGGTGAAAATAGAGAAACGAGAGTGTCGGAAAGCTGAGCGCAGGTGGCGAAAAACTAATCTCCAGGTTCACTGTGACATCTATAAAGAGAGACTTTGCAATTATAATTTGGAATTTAGAAATACAAGGCAGTCCTTCTTCTCTGACATCATAACCAAAAACAATAACAATATACGCGCATTATTTGCTACCGTCGACAGGCTAACAAACCCTCCAGTGTCGGTAGCTGCTGAGCTCCAATCCACCTGGGCATGCAATCAATTTGCCTCCTTTTTTACTGACAAAATTCAGAAAATTAGACAAGCAGTCAGTGCCTCCACACCAACCACAGGATATGTGTTGTCCCCATCTCTGAATAACATCCATTCAAATATCATGACACAATTTCATTCAATTGACCGTAGAAGCCTGGAAGACATGATACAACATCTGAAGTCATCCTCCTGCTGCTTGGATATTCTACCAACACACTTTTTCAAAAATATTTCAAACTGCATGACCACTGATGTTTTACAAATAGTAAACACATCCCTTCTCTCAGGTGTCTTCCCACAAGCCCTAAAAACTGCAGTTATTAAACCGTTCCTAAAGAAGGCTAGTTTAGACTCCGCAACAAAGAACAATGATAGAACAATATCACACCTCCCATTGTTAAGTAAAATAATTGAACAAGCTGAACAACTTCTTGGCCGTAAATAACTGTTTTCATATTTTCCAGTCAGGCTTTCGACAGCACCACAGTACTGAAACTGCTCTTGTTAAGGTTTTCAACGACATCCACTTAAACACAGACAATGGCAGAATTTCAGTCTTAGTATTACTGGATCTCAGTGCTGCATTCGACACGGTCGACCATGACATACTACTAGAAAGACTAAAAATGTGGGTGGGACTCTCTGGCACAGCACTTAACTGGTTTGAATCCTACTTGAAGGACCCAGAATACTTTGTGTCTGTACCTAATTACACATCAGAGCTGACTAAAATGGCATGTGGTGTTCCCCAAGGTTCAATACTGGGGCCTCTTCTGTTCAACATCTACATCAGGGGTATTCAATTAAAACTCCAAAGGTCCAGATTGAGAAAATCTCCCCGTGCAAATGTCCGGAACATTACAATATCTAACTTGCGTTATTTAGTGCCATATATATATTCAAGAAGCCTAGTAGTAGTAACGTCTCTGTGTAGTCAACAACTGTCAAATAAAATATAGAAAGTACACATCAATTATTATTCTCAGTTTTCACATTTACATGATGGATTTCAATAATACATATAAATACATAAAAAATGTTCTCTCATTTCAAGTAAAATAAGGGCTTCATCTAAAACTAAATATATTATGCTATATATATATATTGCGTTTCAGAATACAGATATTCGATTGTCTGAGTAGCGTCACGTGAGATGATTTACAATGCATGTAATTGGTCGGTGTATTTCCTGGACTGCTGACCAAGTGCCAAAAAGGCTAGAAAAGCTGTGCAGGTTAAAATATAAGCGCTCCGCCAAAATGTATAATTCTCAATTATCCATCAGTTATACATCCGGGTCCGGATAGGACAGCGTCTGGGTCCGGATCCGGACTGCGGTCCGCCTATTGGTGACCCCTGATCTACATGCTTCCAGTAGCTCAGATTATGGAAAACAACTAAGTGTGTTATCATAATTATGCAGACGACACACAAATCTACATAACTATGTCACCAGGGGACTATAATCCCATACATGGGCTGGGTAACTGCATTGAACAAATCAACAACTGGATGTGCCAGAATTGTCTTCAATTCAACAAAGATAAAACAGAAGTAATTGTTTTTGGTACCAAGGACGAACGATTGAAAGTCACCGCTCAGCTTCAATCACTGATGTTAAAAACTACAAACAAGCCAGAAATCTAGGTGTAGTTATGGATTCAGACCTCAACCTGAACAGCATCATCAAGACAATTACAAAATCGGCCTCCTATCACCTGAAGAATATATCAAGGATTAGAGGACTTATGTCTCAACAGGATGTGTAAAAACTTGTCCATGCATTTATCTTCAGTAGACTGGACTACTGTAACGGTGTGTTTACAGGTCTCTGTAAAAAGTCAGTCAGAAAGCTGCAGCTGATTCAGAACGCTGCAGCTCGAGTCCTCACTAAGACCAGGAGGGTGGATCACATTACTCCAGTTCTGAGGTCTTTGCACTGGCTGCTCCTGCTGTTGGTTTACAAAGCACTGAATGGTTTAGGGCCAAAATACATCTGATCTGCTGCTGCCTTATGAACCATCCGACCCCTTAGGTCGTCTGGGACCGGTCTACTTTCTGTTCCCAGAGTCAGAACTAAACATGGAGAAGCAGCATTCAGTTTTTCTGCTCCACATATCTGGAACAAAATCCAGAAAGCTGCAGGTCTGCTGAGACCCTCAGCTTCTTTAAATCAAGACTGAAGACTTTTGTTTGCTGCTTTTAATTGAACCAGATTCAAGGATATTAATCATTTTCTGCATGTTACTGTATTTTATTTCTCACACTGCTTTCTATTGTTTTTAATGTTTCAATGTTCTTAATTGTTTTCTTTTGCCTTTTTAATAGTTTTATGTGAAGCACTTTGAATTGTGCTATACAAATAAACTTGCCTTGCCTGAGAATTTTAACAACAGCCATGTTTGTTTACATTCATTTTGGGGGGGGGGGGTAGCTTTGGAGGCATGCCCTGTCAGTGTTGCCGATGTAGAAACTTTTAGAGCTTATGCTGCTAGCTACGTTCATCAGAAACAAAGTTGGCAACACTGGGCTGGGTTTCTTAGGTTGCTTTTTTTTTTTAAAATCTATCGTACTCTGGCTAGCTTCCCAACAGTACCAACCCTAGTTTTACTGTCCCTTAAGATACCGTAGACTATTACATCACTTTTTGGTTCCTGGAACAGGTCTTCAGTGCTTTACCTCCCATCCCTTCCAATCAAAAGTCAGCAGCAGCCATTGTATAATGCTGATATAACATGCATGTACCTATGGGCACCAACATTTCCAAGAGTACAAACAGAAACGCCGGAGGAAATAATCTTTGATATACTGTAAATTACAACACGGGACGAATTACTTTGCATCCAACTTCAAATATATTTATAGAGATATTATATTTCTGGAACACATCTCTAATCCAACAATGCTTTTAAATGTTCACACAAGCAGATTTTAAAGATACTGCCGACTTTGCAATGACTGATGCAACATTTGATTCAAAATTAAAATATATCTATCTCATTACTTTCAGTGAGATGCAAGTCTGTTCTAACAAACTGTCCCCCAGAAGTAGATTTGTTTTTTATATCTCACAGGTGCTTTATTACATTATTCCGATGTTTCATGACTGTCCATTTGTTTGCTAATAACTTCATTGTTTTAAGTGCTTTTTAAAATAATTTAAAAGGCTAATTTATTTGAGTCCTAGGGGACTCAAGTCAAATGCACTCAGTTGCAGATTAAATAAGATTTATGGATAAAAATGTTTGCCATGGGTCCCAATTTACTAGCTGGAGGGTAGGGGCACTCTGTCCGACATTTTGGATGAGACTGACAGATTCCTCATGTGCTCAGTTTCCATTTTATACATCCTAAACGATTGCTTTTCTTCAGATGGCATTACATAAATGTTTTTAGAAATAAGTTAACATTTTGCTCTTCTGGTTGTTTCATACAGTCGTTTGTTCTTTCAGTAGGTTGTCCTTGCATGTTCATTTTGGTAGGATGGTTTAAGTTCGACAGAATAATCTGAATGTTAACTTTTTGTTTGTTTTAAATCAGAAGAAACTTACAACTAAAGCTACTAAAACAATTTAGAAGCTGTTTATAAGAAAAGTAGAATGGCGCTCTGAAAGCGTAGACAATGGGGCCTTCACGGGCATCTCGATAGTTCCATTTACCTGAGTTGATAAGTCGATCTTCAGACTTCATGAGCTTTAAATTGTAATGTGGAAACATGGACCCTACAAAGAAGAAGGTGTATTTTATACCAAACAGACTGCCGTCTGTTTACCGGTACTTTGCACCAGCACTGGATCTTTCACACTTGAGGGAGTCAGACTCTTAGAAAAGACCCCCAGTGTTAAGTATGAGTTTTGTTCAAGCTTGTTTCGTTCTTTTGGAATTCTAATTGACAGGTTTAATTTAATATAAACTCAGAAAGAGAACCTACTTTTTGAAAGTTAGGAGGTGCCCTTTAGGTAAAAGCAGAAATTCTCAGGAAACTAACTGGCAGAAAGGGAACTTGTCATTGAAGTTATTCTTTGAAGTTAGAAGGTGCCTTTTATGTACGAGCAGGAATTGTAATCATGAAAAAAGGAGAAAGGGAACCTTACTGTCACTGCATCAAGTAAAATGATTCCAAATGAACCCCAATCTGCTGCTAATAGTTTAAAAACCGTCAAACTTTGAATATGATGATATATACAAAACATTTATTGAAAAATAGTGAAAAATAAGGATTACATTTTTGATTTGAAATTCATTTTAAATATTAAATTGAATCTTTAAAACCAAGTGCTGTCTTGTAGCATGCAGTCAGTACCGCGAGTTCCTTCCATTTCCACCTGGAAGAAGCAAAAAAATAAATAAATAAATAAAAAAAAGTGTATTAGGCAAAGAAGGCCCACTTTCATCTCTTTCAGTCACTAAGATATTCTGCAGTCGAGTGAGTAGAACCATCTGTCCAATGTAATGAACTCTAGTAGCATTTTCCATTTTAGAATTAGAATTTAGAGGAATGACATGTCCTGTTGTAAAATTTGGTCATCTTTTAGCAATTTAGAGTTATGATCATTTGATGTGTGTGGATGTTTAGTCTGCGCTGAAATCCTAAACAGCGTTCCCACCAATCTACACAAACCAATCAGAGATTTGAATCTAGCCTTAAGACTGGAATGAAAGCCCCAGTTTTAAAACCTTATGATCACCCATCCTGACACACGAATGGATAACATTTAGATTCTCACCTTGGTGTTTCCCATAGTATCCATTGTAGGCTTCCTGCTGGCTGCTTTGCTTTTCTGTGGACATAAAGAGGTTTATAGAGTAAAATTTGTTCTCCCATCAGCTCGGTGTCCTATATGATAACACCATATTCTGTCAAAGTCTTATCAGTTTGTTTTTCTCTACCCTTTCTTACCGGTTTGAAGTGGGCGGGTTCAGTTGATGGAAAGAAAACATGTTATGTACTTATGTGAACTAGTGAGACATTTCAATCTAAATTTGATGTTTGGTCACTTGTCAGTCAAATGTCAAACTACAGTCCTGAAGTTGAAGTATATAATTTGAAAATGTAATTTCAGATGGTAGATTTTCTGGCTTTGGGAAAGAAAACACATGCATTTTTATTGTTAAATCTTGATAAAAAGGGTGGGCTTACATAGCCAATAGTCATTTTAATGCTCTGAATTTAGCCCCTTTAAGAACACATTCAAATGTTCAAGCCTTTTGGTACTTTGTTGGGATGAATTATTAAAACACAACAATTAAAAACAGTCTGGCCTTGTCAAACATGATTTACACACTCATACACCACATTCTAGAATTGATAGGACTCTTAAAATGGCGAAATTTGTTTTTAGTAAATAACCAAATTCAAATTCTGACCCGATGATGGAGGCTGTATTGGCTACACCCATTCTAGATCACTTGCTTTTGCTTTACCTTGACCCTTGTTCCTCCAGTGATTCTTCTTCTGGTTTTTCTGCATTTGTCCCTTCATGTTGAGTCCTTCAGCCTGGCCATTGATTGGCTTCTTATCTATAGGATAAGTAAACTTTAAAGCACTACACACATTTGTTTCTCAAGAGCAGCACACGTCTGTCATGGTTGAATTGAGACAATCACCTTTGTATTTAATATGATGCCTTCTGCTTGGTCCCATGCCACTTCCTGTCTCCTTGCAGTTACAATTCCACTCTTGTAATTCGGTGCACTGGACGCCACAGTCCACCAAACGTCCCTTTGATGGAGACACTTCAGCCGTCTTCAGGTCCGCTATCGGGGCACACAGTTGCTCGTTTCTCGGCTGGCTGACTCCATCCTCTGCCTCCATGTCCACTCCGTTCTGGAGAATCAGCTGGCCTGCAGAGGAGATTTTCTCGCCTGCCGCAGAGTTCAAGAGAAGAGTTTGTTCCTGCTCGGGAGAGCGAGGGCATTGCTCCTGCTGCTCATTTATAATGAGCAATTTCTGGTTTGGGCTTGGATTAGCCTCGGGTTCAGAAGATGTATTTCTATCCATGTCTTCTTCAGTGGCGGTAGATAAAACTATTTTGCGTGACAGCAGGTGAGTCGGGGAAGCGAAGGAATCCTTTTGTGAAGGACCCATGTTTTGGCATTGCTTTGGGCTCATTTCAGAAGCATCAATTTCACTCTCCGTTTCTGGTTTCTTTGGTGGACTTAGCTTCTCAGCGGGGGTACTGAAAATGAGCCAGCTGTCAGACATTAGAACAGAATCAGAGGAGGAATACCTGCGAGTATGTTTCCTTTCTTTACCAGCTTTGACAATTGGGTTGTTCTGGGTTGACAGTGCACCATTTTCAGCCTCATCCGTCATCTCAACGATTACTTGAGGCTCAAACATGCTGTTCTGCAAAAGCCACTCTTTAGTGGGGATAAAGGGTGCCAAAGATTCCACAGACCAAACAGACTCATTCATTTTTCTCTTCATCCGACCGCTATTGAATGACATTTGATAGGGAATGATGTCTGCAGTGTCTTCGAGTGGATTTGTCTCATTGCCATTTTCCTGTTCATCATCAGGGAGCTTATTGGAATTGTATAGTGAATACAGGCATTCATCTCTGTAGGGTGGGCCATGTCTAACAGAGCCAATCAATCCCATAGATTCGTTTTCTCTTCTGGACTCAGTCTTTCGCTCTATATGAGCTTCTCTCATTTTGAGAATCTTGAAAAGGGTTGCACTGTCCCTTGAGCTTAAGTTGCCTTCAGCATCATTAGCAAAAGCTCTGTCAGCCACCGCTGGACCCTTTGTAGTCTCAGTTGGACTCTGGTAAACAGATTGATCATGCTCTACTTCAGTTCCAATATCAATCTGAGGCAGCTTGTCTGCCATTGTTGCCTGTGGCGTGCCATCTCCCCAACTCATCAGAATGTCAGGAACAGAGATGCGTCTCTCTTGGACAACCACCTCCTCTTGTTGAGAAGAGCTACATACAGGAACCATACCATCTGCAGAACTCACTGACCACACATTGCAGTGAGCATCTCCACAAGGGTGAACATTCTCCTGATCGACATGGTCTTTGTGGCTCTGCTGCCCTTCTAGAGTTGCTCTGATACGCGCCTGGACAGTCTTCGTTCCCGTAGGCTGCAGGACGTCAAAGCAGTGTTTGACTGTGCTACTTGCGCTGGTCCTTTTAACCCGGTTGTCGTTTGCATCGCTGCCGGGTAAGGTATAGTTCTCAACTTCGGCAGAGCTTCGTTTTTCGGAGGTGGAGCTTGAGGGTGATGAAGAGTTCGAGGCGGTTGCACGCCCAGAATCTGTGCAGACGACTGGGCTTTCCTCACCGTAGTCGCCTACACCTCTCCGTGTGGGTTCTGTTTGGACCTCAGAGTTAACCGTTTCCCGAACAGGGCCCGTATAAGAGAGGTGGACTCTGCGGGCCTGGTTAGGGTTCTGGTAGGGTGCGCTGGGAGCGTAGACCTGGGGATGCAGCAAACGTCTGTAGTCGACTGGTTGAGGGTGGGGCAGAATGTAGGCTGGAGCCTCCATGTAGGGAGGAGGAGGGAAAGGGGGTATTACCATACCATAGCCTAGAGAGGTAGAAAAAAAATATAAAGGATTCGTCAAATTAACCGAGATGATGGTTCAAGTCCAATAAGCACTACCTTACAATATCAAAGTTTCTTACATTAAATAACATTTCAAGATCATCGTACAGGTCTTCATGTTATTGGCCACTACTTCTATCAAACAAACTATACCCAGTGGGAAAAGCCATTTTAGCTTTCACCTCAAATAAGGCAATAGAAAACCCCACAAAGACTCACCCATGCCTGGGAAGCCCGTAAAGGGGTTATAGGAGAAGGGCATGGGCCACTGGTATTGGAGGAAAGGGGGTGGGGGTTGAGCATGGATGTAGAAGACAGGCCGAGTAGGGACGTGGTGTTGGGGATGGGATGAAGGTCCTGGGTTTTGGCTGGTGCCGTGCAGTCCTGGGTCTTGCTGCATAGAGGTTGGTCCACCGCTGTGAGTGTGCGGGTTCCCTCCATTTGGTCCTGGATGAGCTGGCGGAGGTCGGTTGATAGTCGTTGCCATATTCAACCTACAGGAGGTGGAGGAAGAAGTATTTTAGACAGTTGTGCATCCACATCAATCATTTCCCAAAACAGCTGGCCACTGTAGATTTTAGAAAACAACTCAAACATGAGGAGATGGTGAAAGTGCTTTTTTAGGACCATTTCCAGCACTGGGTTATCACTCTACTGTAGAATTATGTCAGCATTTTTTTAAGCTACACATTACCCAAGAACAAAGCAGTGACTTTTCTGTGTACCCACTGATGACAAAGCCTGTACACCAATCTTCACATGTTGCTGCAGGAAAACTACAAAAGTAATGTAAGCAGACAGATCATGCCCTTCTTACACGTTCAGACCTCTATTTTGCATTTCTGCTACAAAAATATTAACAGGCTTTACTGTTCAAAAACCACTTTCATACCGTTTCTGAATCCTGTATTCACCCTCTGTGTGAATCCCTCTTTAAAGTGCAACTTCAACCCCAGATCTAAGCAAGCCTTTGCTGCAGTCAACATTACTGCTGGTGTATTCTAATGAGCCTGCATGTGACATAGGAAGGTGATCCAAATCAAAATTGCGTGTTGAAGCGCATACTTTCAGATCTTAGCAGCTCACAAAAAAATAAAAACTGACTGGGTTGTCTTAGTTCAGTTTGTGGGTTGGTAGACCCTCTATATGCCCAAATGTACACAAGCACTGAAAAAGTGAGTTTTTAAATGATGAGTCACCTTTTTAAGACAACCCATTCAATCTTTTGTGAGCTGCCTAGATCAGAAAAAATGTGATGATTCAACAAGCTAGTCAGATTTATCTCCTATTCTTTTGTCACAAGCACGCTCACAATTATCTTTGCAAAGGTGCACAATATTTATTTTCGCAAGCCAATCAAAGCAGACTGGACTTTTAAAGGAATTGGAGGTCTAGTGTGCAGGGTTTGGCAACATCTAGGTGAGGTTGCAGATTGCACCTAACTAAAACCTTTCCTGTGTGCCAAGCTGGTATGATAACTATGGCAGCTAAAAAAAACAAAACAGGAAAAAGGAGGGTCATTAAGGTAACAGAAACAGTTCTTAGTTTCAGGTCATTCTACACTCAAGAAAAATAATGAACAAATAGATTCCATTTCTGTCACTAGATGCTACACACCGTTTCTTTAAATAGACGGGCACTAAAAGAGTGTTTCAGACATTGGGTGACTACAGGTGTTTTAAGACAATGGCCCAATCCCAATGTCCCCCCCCTTACGGACTCACGGACTTTGAGGCGCGCTCCCACGAAGTCCGTGAGGGTTTAGGGCTGTCCCACTGTCAAATCATCGAGTGTTTGAGGCTCTCTGGCAGACATTTTGAGCCCTTTAGGAACCCTTTCCGCAAGTCAGCATGGTATGCTGACTTGCCCTAAGGGAATTACCCACAAATCATTGCAATGTGACGTTAAACACGGGGTAACCAGTGGACGCATGGAGACGTAAAAAAAAAAAAAAAAAAAAAAAAAAAAAAAAAAGTGTAAACAGAGAGGACAGCTCACATGTGTTCAGCCTGGAATATTACATTTACTCAGAAACATTAAGGGTTAAAGATGGAAGATGAAATTAACTTGAAATCAGAGAATATTTATTTATTCATCAAATATTTGATTTAGTCGTTGAAGCTGTTTTGACAAAACGAGTAAATAGATTATCTGAAGTTACCTCTCATCTTGTGAGGAAAGAGACTGAAGACGTTCACATCAGGGAGTACAAAGTATAAAATAATTACACACAATTATACATCATATTTCTTGTCATTTTCATGGTAACGTGATATGTCGCAGCAAAGTGCTGTCCCATTCATATTTACACCATCTCAAGCCAAATCCCAATGTCCCCCCCTAAACCCTGAACCCTCAAGGACTTACTGACGTCACCTGGTAAGTGGTTGAGTGTGAGAGACTGTGAGGGCTTGAGATGGTGTAAATATGAATGGGACAACACTTTGCTGCGACATATCACGTTACCATGAAAATGACAAGAAATGTGATGTATAATTGTGTGTAATTATTTTATACTTTGTACTCCCTGATGTGAACGTCTTCAGTCTCTTTCCTCACAAGATGAGAGGTAACTTCAGATAATCTATTTACTCGTTTTTGTCAAAACAGCTTCAATGACTAAATCAAATATTTGATGAATGAATGAATAAATAAATAAATAAATAAATATTCTGTTATTTCATGTTTATTTTTTCCATCTTTAACCCTTAATGCCTCTGAGTAAATGTAATACTCCAGGCTGAACACACGTGAGCCGTCCTCTTTGTTTACGTCTCCATGCGTCCACTGGTTACCCCGTGTTTAACGTCACATTGCAATGATTTGTGGGTAATTCCCTTAGGCCAAGTCAGCATACCATGCTGACTTACGGAAAGGGTTCATAAAGGGCTGAAAATGTCTGCAAGAGAGCCTCAAACACTCGATGATTTGACAGTGGGACATCCCTAAACCCTCACGGACTTCGTGGGAGCGCGCCTCAAAGTCCGTGAGTCCGTAAGGGGGGGGGGGGGGGGGGGGGAGGGGGGGGGGGACATTGGATTTGGCCTCAATCTCTCACACTCAACCACTTACCAGGTGACATCAGTAAGTCCTTGAGGGTTCAGGGTTTGAGGGTTTAGGGGGGACATTGGGATTGGGCCAGACAGTGTGAGAGGGGGAAAAAAGTGCTTTTTCCAACATGTCTTAGTTCAACACCAACATACAAGTATAAGCCTGAAAATGAGCATGATACGGCATCTTTAAATAGGACATTCCACGGCCTTTCATAACAATATCTTTAAACCGTCTGATGTGTTCTCACACCAAGCATAACAGAGGTTTATGACTTATGTACATAGTGTTAGTGGTTCTGTCTGACCTTCTTATGCCATTTTCCATTTAAATAAGTTCAAGTTTCTAAAGTCAAGCAGCATTCTGTACTTTAAGTGAATAAGTGAACCAAAACATTAACTTAAATAGCTTGAAGCGCTGATCTAAAGCGAGGAATAACAGTAAATTAAATATGAGGAATAACCGTAAATCAAGCATGACAAAATTCAACAAAAATCTCAAACCGAATACCACTTAACAGGGGAATCACAATTCCAAATCATTCATATGCATTTTGTTGTGATGAAAATGCCAAGTCACTTTACCTTGTTGCGAACTTAGATGTGAACCATATGGAGCAACGCAGTGTTTAATCATAAGCATCTGACACACCTGAGTTTAAGTAGCTGCTGATCAGTCAAGTGTGTGCACCATCAGCTAATTTGGAGCTCTGAGGCCACTCTGCAGCACTGGGGCCTCCTGCAGTTAGCTGTCACAACACTAGATAGAGCCAGACTCCCGTCACACAACAGAGGTCTCAGCTGGCTCTTCTCATTTCAATCACACGTTTGTCCGGATTACTTCAGTTTTTCCATCCCATAGCTCCTTCACCTCTTCATTAGATAGATATTTTCCTAAATCAGTAACTTCAATATACAATCAAGCACTAAGAGCACCTGTAGGTGACGGTTTATCTATTACCAACATGTCAAGCACTCATTTCATCATTGACAGGATTCTTCATGTGTAACATGGATACTATGGGTTGTTATTCTTTAACACACTTCATTTTGCATAACTAATGCCTTAAAAATGTGTTTTATTCATTTTTTTGTCCAGACAAGATAAACTTAGGAATTAACAGCAGCTCACCCGTCAGGACTTCATATCTAATGAGCTAATCTTTTTATTCCCAGTGGAGGTTTACAGTACAGTCTGGAGGTCTGGTGATGTCTAGTATGTTTGTGTTTGCTGTTTTATTTTAGTGTCAATGTTGGAACTGTAAACATATACAGAAGGAAAAGATCAGGAAATAAGGAAAAGACCTTCAGTTTGAACTTTGGTAACGACAGAAAAACAACCAAACTGTGGTACACAGGGTTAGAAAAAACACAGTATTGCCATTTTTATTAGCATATTAAATATAATAGTTTGGACCCCCTTTGTTAATGAGGGATGTGTAATGGCATCTTAAAGAGATCCTCAAGTCCTTCGTGTACTGGTTTCTGCAAGTCTCTAGTGATTAAGTTACATGTGATGTTAATGGGTGAGGCATGGATAGATGGAGCTTTCATACATGTAAGTATGATCCCCTCAGTACATCTGTATGGCTTTGAGAGGTGAGGGGATCGTGTCTGAGGTAAACACAGTAAACTGCAAACAGCACGACGCCTTTACTAACTTTTGTATCTCTGTGGAAGTGGGAGAAAGTGACATAAGATGTGAGGGTTCATGGTGCTTTTCGGTGTAATAAAGAAGTAGACAATATCACCCGATGTACCCCCTTAATTCATCTCCTGACCACTAGATGGCACTAAACCTGCTCAAAACACATGTATTGAATGGCTCTACATTACATTACATTACAGTCATTTAGCTTTTATCCAAAGCGACTTACAATTCAGATTCTATCACATTTCTACACAAAGAATTGGGGTTAAGTGTCTTTCTCAAGGACACATCGACATGGGACTAGCAGAGCTGATTGAAGGACGGCCCTGCTATCCACTGAGCCACAGTGGCCCCTCTAATATGCTCTTGTGTTGTGAACTATGACATTTCCTTTGAATTGCTGTATTCCTGAGATTTATTACACTAGAACCGTTTTATAGTCTACTTGCCAGTCTAAAGAGCCCTAGTGTTGGTGTTGGTGTTGGTGTTAGTGTTAGTTTATGCATCATAATCCTGCAGATGCTGAACTCATATTCTTATATCAATTTGACAGTAAATGTATTTTGTTGTTCGGGGGGGGGGGGCTTCTTCCCCCATCTTACTCTAATAGAAACACTGTGCAGATTGCTATTATATTTGCTGAACACCTCTGTCCTTCATAAAGCTGAAAAATGTAGCCTTGCAAACTCCAGAACCAGTATCTCTGCTGCCACCTTTAGGTCAGAATTACAACTTTGTATACAGTTTAGGCACCGTCTCATGACTGCTGGCAGTCAGGCTCAGATGTGATGAATCTATTGATTTTCACAATTCCAGGACCTTTCTTTCAATCACAGCCAGAACAAACCTTAGTCAAGTCCTCTTCAATTTGGATACATAAAAAGGATTTGTAGTTTATTACGAACGGGGTTTCATTTTCAAACCTGTGTATGCCTAATGTACCAAATGCTCACAAAGTGCTGAGATCTAGGAACACACTGGAGAAGTTTGACTGGTAAAGAAACGTGAGTAGATGGACGATAAGGGAACCAACATGTTAGTTTGAAAGAGAGTATGACGGGAACAGGGATCGTTAGCAACATTTTAGATGCGTTGTCTTTTATTTTGACCTCTCAATAGAGAAATTAAGATAATCTGAATATACTACAACCTGTTCAATGCTAAACAACAGGAAAGAAGACCAGCATTACAAAGGCTGTACCGGAATCAAACTTTAACTGTGTTTTACATCAGCCCCTCTGTACATTATCCTGTAGATAATGTTATCTCATCCTCATGCTAAATAATATTAAAATTGATCAACATTTGAAACCTCTCGCTCTCTTTTAGAGGATTACAGCTTGAGACAGAATCCCTGCAGTTAATGACAAGCAAATATCCAAAAGAGAAATGGATGAATACCTCATTCCTTTTCATCTTTTCATGACCTGATGACCTCATTTCCATCGTGGTAAAGAAAAAGTGACTCGAAAAGGACATAATTTCTTCATTATTTGGATCCACTGTGGAATAGGCCTAGTTGTTGTGTCGACATACAACTTAGACCAAGGATACATTACAATTGCTCCAGCTATCACACTGGAATGCCAAGCGCAGTGGCCTTCCCTTCACAAGTCAATCATTCCCTTCATATGGACCCACTGGAGTGCATTATCCTACTTGCACCATGTCCATTTACCACAAGGGAAGGTTCGAAAGTTCAATCCATGGTTAGGTTAGTGTATGAACCATAATGTTGCCATAAATACCCCTTGCACTGTTTCAAACAGTAGTAATTGAACTGCTGACTGGAAGTAAGTAAACAGTAAAACCCTCAGTAATGAGTGGAATAAAAGAAGTATACAGCAATGTTCATCCCACAGATTTGCTTCATACAAAGTGTTACGTGTTGTGTTTTCTCCCCTCCTGCCCTTCTTGCTTTCTCTCTCTCATGTTCCTAACAGGTGTCAATCAGTTGATTGGGTTCCACCTGTGGGGGCCGGTCGTGCTGCTCGGTGGGTTACACCAACTGCAGGCTGGCCAATCGGCAGAGGGGGAGCCAAAGATAAAAGCAGGAAGACTCAGGAGTTCAGGGGCTTCAATAAATGATAGACCCATAGCATTAACATCCCATGTAGGTAAGATAATGGAAAGAGTGATTACAGATAGATTAACATTTTATATGGAGTCCAGGGGAATGATAACACCTCATCAAAGTGGATTTCGGAAAGGTAGGGGAACTATGGACCCAATTATATGTTTAGAAACAGAAATGAAAAAGGCCCAGGTGTATAAGGAGTCAGTGATGGCTGTGTTCTTTGATGTGGAAAAGGCATATGATATGGTTTGGAGGGAGGGGTTATTGATTAAATTAAATATGATAGGAATAGGTGGCAGAACATATAATTGGATTAAAGATTTTTTAGTTAACAGATTCATTCAAGTTAGAATTGGGGCAGCACGATCTAGAAGATACCAGGTAGAGAATGGAACACCTCAGGGAAGTGTCATCAGTCCGATACTGTTCTCCATCGTGATAAATGATGTTGTTCTTCAAGTTCAGGGTGATATTGGGCGATCCCTATTTGCTGATGATGGAGCACTGTGGAAGAGGGGGAAGAACATAAATCATATTAAAGGGAAAGTACAGGAGGCTGTGAATGTGGTAGAAAGATGGTCTTATTCATGGCGATTCAA